CGCCAAATGAGTTGCTATTCTTCCCAGACTGGAGAAATTGAGGCATGATAATACCATTCCAGTTGGCTTTCAGTCCAAGCTCTCGGGCCTGCCTCGCCTCCCTTCCCCTGCACCTTACTGCTGCTGGCCTGCAGTTCCACTACCGCACCCCCAACCTCACCTGTGTGCTACCTGAGGGCAGGGCCTGAGGGCTGCCTCCAGGACTCGACCCAGGAAAGGCCTCTTAAACCTGATCTGACCTACATCTGGCTCCCTCGAAGTCCAAGGCCCTGGGGAGGAAACCAGACAGCAGCCTCCAGCCCCTAATTTCTCAAGAGTGCCAGGTCTTGAGCCGGTGGAATCTCAGGTGGCGAGTACAGGGGAAGCCTGAGCCCACATCTCAGAGCTGTCACGGGGGCCTGCATTGGTCTTGCCCCTTTTCTGCACGACTAAACATACTCGCACTTGGTTCTGGTAGGGTAGAAAGCAATGCAGTAATTAACTGACACTTCCCCTAGCGAGCTCTAATCCAGAAGCACTGCGCTCGAGTTTTATCCAGAAAGTATTGGCGCAGAACCACCGCCAGAACAGAAAACCAGAGGACGGCGGCTGGGGCTGGAGGGGGTTGGGGAAGGGAGCCAAGGTGAGGGGCTGGCGGGGAACGGAGTGGGGCCCCGCGCAGACGAGCCCCGCCCCGGGCGCCCTCCCTTCCTCCCCAGGCGCCGGCCAGGGCGCGCTAGGCGGCTGCGGCGCGAACCTGCTCGCGCAGCCCGGGGCGGCTAGAGGCGCCCGTGCGTGAAGCCAGAACGGGGGTACCGAGTGGGGGCCGCGCTGGACTCTGTCCATTCCCTTTAAGGGGCTGGCACACTCGCTGCAGCCCGATGGCAGGTCGGGGTGCTGAGCACTAGAGGGGAGTTGAGAATGAAGGAGCGCTGATTTGGGGGAGAAACTGCCCGGGGCTGGGCATCGCGGACTCTGGAGAGAAGAGGAAGGGAGTGTGTTTTCCGGGATTCGGGACCGAGGGGGCGGGGAAGATGGCCCGGGGGGAGGAGTGAGAGGCCGGGCGGCTGGCGGCTCCTGCGAAAGCAGAAAGAGGGACGCTCGGAGGGTGCGCTCTGGAGATGGGGGTTCCAGGAGCCGGGGAATATGCACGGGAGAAAGAAGGCGCTGAGGACACCGGAGGACCGGGTCGGCTACTCAGACTGGGAAGAATGGCCAGGGAGGAGCGGTCGGGCTTCCACCGGCCCTGCCCACCCTCGGGGCGTGGCGCCGCCGGGCCCGCCCACCCCGGGACCATCCAGGCCGGACTCGGCCCCCGCGGACCTCCCCGGCCCCGGCCCCCTCCCCCGCATCACCCGGCCGGGCAGCGCCCGGCGGCGGAGGGGGGGTGCACAGCTCACGCGCCCCTCGAACTTCTTACAAGTTCCCTCCCACGCCTCCCGCCCCTCGGACTACCAGCTCCCAGGCAGGGAAGGGCCCCGCCAGTCCCAGCCCCTCCCGCCCGGTTACATAAGGTCGCAAAGAAGCCGCCCCCAGCCCGGGCATGAAGGGAAGGGCCGGAGGGGATACCGGGCGCGGCGGGCAGCGCCACTCCGGCCACGCGCCGTGCGTCCCGAGCCGGACAGACAGCGGACAGGCGAGTGGCGATGCCGCGCACCGGATCCCGCTCGCCTCTTGAGCCGGCACCCCCACCCACCCACCTGTCTCCCGGGATGGGACCCCCGGGATGGGGCCGGGGGAGTCTTGACGCGAGTTCCCAGCCCTCTGCGCACCCCGCGCCCCTCGGCCCCCCTCACCTCGCTCTGAAGGTCAATCCGTCCGCCGTCCGCGCCCCGCCGATCCAGCAACTTGTCCCAAGTTCAGGTGCCGGGCGCACGAGCTCTGCCCGCCGCACGCTCGCGGGTTCCTCCGGCTCCGCGCCACCCCGGTGGCCCGCCCCGCTCGCCCTTCCCGCCGCGGTAGCCGCAGCCGCTCCCTGCGTCCCGCCCGCGGCCGCCGCCTCCGCTGTCACCGAGCCCCGCGCCCGGGCTCCCGCTGTCACTCCGCGCCCACTTCCCGCCGCGCCCGGCAGAGGGCAGCACCCGCCCTCAGGGCCACGCCCCACCACGCCCCCACAAGCCCGCCCAGCGCCCACTGGGAAATGGAGTCCCCGCTGCTGCCCCTAGGCACGCCGGAACTTGTAGTCCTCCTTGAGAACTGTGTCTTGCAGCCTGTTGGTGTTCAAGTTGGGACTTTGTTTATAGTTCTATCTTTTGTTGTCATTATGTGCCATCGAGTCCCCTACGACTCTTAGTGATCCTGTGTGCAATAGCTCTGAACCTCGCCCTATCCTGAGCCAATCTCACTGACTCTGACACACCCTAGTCACTGTATCAATTAATCTCATCCGGGTCTTCCCCTCCTACACTATCCTTCCACACTTCCAAGCATGATGTCCCTCTCCAGGGACTAGTCCTTCCTGGCCACATTCCCAAGGTATGTGAGACGGAGCTTCAAAATCTTTTTCTCCAAGTTTCACTCTCTCCAGCATGAATCTGTTAGTTCTCTTGGAAATTCATGGTGCATTCAACACTCTTCTCCAGCGCCACAACTCAAAGACATCTATCTATTCTTTTTCTGTCATCTTGGGTCATTATCCAGCTCTTTAATGCATAGCAAGAAATTATGAAGACCATGGCCTGAATTAGGTGCACCTTAGTCTACAGACTGACATCATTGATCTTTAGCACTTTGGAATAGTACCTGGCAGCAGTTTTCTCCAGAGCAATTAATCCTTCAATTTCTTGGCTGCTGGTGCCAAGAGGTTTGATTGCGTATCTGAGCAAGATGGGATTGTTAACCACCTCAATTTCTTCCCCATCTAACATGGTTCTTCAGTGAATGGTTTTCGGCAGGCTGTCTTTCAGGAAGTTTAGCAGAAAATGTGAAGCCTCGGAGTACATGCATTGCCATGAAAACTCCTCTACAGTAAACCCTAGTTGTAAACCACAGTTGCCCTCCTGGTTTGCAGTGAGGTGCAGAAATTGGATCTCAGAAGGCTTCCCTCTGCCTTTGAGCAGAAGGAGCAAGATTGGAAGCAATTTGGTGAACCCAAAACAGAATCAAACCTGTTGCCATCGAGACCCTATCGGGCAGAGCAGGGTTACTCCTTTCCAAAACTGTAAGTCCTAAACAGAACGACTGCCACATCTTTTTCCTGTAGCAACTAAAAAATTTCTTACAGCAGTCCAAACTTTAACTATTGCTCCGTTAGTGTTCCTACCCTGGTGAAGAACAGTGTGGAAAAGGACTCCAGCATAGAACCCATCTTCCTACATTGCAGGCTCTCCATTCATACATCCCCACCTCCCACCTACAGGGAGTTCTGGTGGCCTAGTCCATAGTTCCCCCACCCCCGCCCCACCCCAGGATGCTCTGGTTGCCTAGTCCATAGCTTCTGGCGTTTCTAACCCAAAGGCCATTCTTCTCTTGAGGTTCTAATCTACTAGTGCATCTTCCTGGATAAAAATGGGCCATCTCTTCCCATGTGAATTTATAGCTTTGGAAACCCAGTGAAGAGTCAGCTGGGACTTGGTTCTGGATGTCAGTGAGCAGTAGTAACCCACCTAAACCCCTTAGCTTGAGACCGCTGGTGCCCCTCTGGTCCCATGGAGCTACAGGAAATTTTTGTCACTGTTCCCTTCTAGAATCACAGAGTTACCATCCTCCTGTCTCCTTCTCCTCTTCACCATGTTGATCCAGGTTTCTGCCTCTCTCCCTTGGAGCCCCTAAGGAGACCAGGAACGCTGCCCAGAAGAATGCTTTGAGTTGGTCAGACAAGAGGGCATGATTTCCATGTGATTTAAGTAGCTAGTCCTCTTGTTCAGAGTTGATATATAGACCCTTCAAATATGGCCCCTGGAACACAGGGCTTACCCTCCTGAAGCCCTGCAGGAGATAGGTTTTGGCTGCCTCACCCTCCTTCCTCAAGGGCCACATGATTGTTACAAGTGCACAGAGACATCTAAGGGCTCCTCAGAGTGTTATTTGTCCAAATGTAATCAAAGGGACTCTGATGGCCTAGCAGGTTACAGAGTTGTGCTGCAAGCCCAAAGGCATGTGGTTCGAATGCACTAGATTCTCTATGGGAGAAAGATGAGCAATCTCCTCCTGTGCAACTTACAGCCTCTGAAAACCCAGTGGAGGGTCAGCTACCACTAGCTGAGGTGTGTCTGTTTGGAGGTTGCTGGGTTAGTTCTAGTGTGCTTATTAGGTGCCATGGAGACGGTTTAATCTCTTAGCAACCCAGGTGACAGGATAGAATTGCTCCAGAGAATTTTCTGGGCTGTCATCTTTACTGAAGGACATCGCCAGATCTGGCTCTACTGGAATTGCTGTATGGATTCGAACCACTAACCTTTCTTTTAGATGCTAACGGCTTAAATTTGGCACTACCAGGGCTCCTTGTTCTGATGTTTGGTAAATCAAGTCAGCTGAACACCAGAGGTAGCCACAACTGGGTCCCCTTAGCCCTTCACAAAAGAAGGTTCCCTTTTGAGCAAAATGTGCATGAATGATTGGAAGAAACTCACAATATATTGGTAAACTTTCCCACAAATCTCAATACTATTTTTTGAAGTGGGTTGGTTTTTGTTATTTTTTATGTCAACATCACTTTTTTTATGTCTTCTCTCTCCAGAGAGAGGATATGAACAAACTCCATGTGCTAAGGAGTCCATCCAACACCCTACTTTACACTCACTCCTCTTAAAGTCTCAGTGACCCACCAGGAAATATTACAACCCTCAAGGACATCCATCAGAGCAAAAATCTGACCCTACCCCTTACTGTCCCCATTCCCTGGAATCAAGCCACAACCCCTCCCCAACCTCCAAAAACGACTGACCAACATGAAGGAGAACTATTTATTGTTAGGGAAAGTTCAGAGTCTGAAAAAAGATAACTGAGTCCAGAGAGGAAGCACAGAGAGACAGCCCCACAAAACAGGGGGCAACAGGAGGAAGGAGGTCCAGGCAGTGAGTCTAGGCAGCAGTGGCGAAGCCCACCCTGTTGTTGCCCATGTCGAAGACAGAGTAGTAGGCCCTGAGGAAGACATCCCCAAGGATCCACAGGGGCTGGCCGTTCTGGGAGGGCAGGTAGGTGGGCTCGAAGCCGACGGTGCAGTAGCCATTGCTCTGTTCAACAGAGGAAGAAAAAACATGTTCACTCAATCCCACATGCACTGGACCCTGCTTAGCCCTGAGCCCCAGGTCAGCCCACAAACACAGACATGAGTGAGTCAGGGCGATCAGCCAAGCACAGGAGCAGAGGCTGGTGGGAGGGATATAAAGGAATGGTGAACTTGCATGCAGTGGCCTTCTGCAGGGTTCCCTCTGTATCAGGAACCTTCTCCTACAGGCCTCCCTCCCAGACCAGGGCTGCCTGGGGGTTCAACTTAGAGCCACACAAAGATGGATTCAAACCCTAGCTTCACACTGACTAGCTGGGCAACCTTGAGACAGTAAAACTTCCTCAATAAACAAGTGTTTCTCTATAAATTAGAAATAGCTATCACTCTCATTACAAAAATCAAGTGGAAGTGTAAACAGAGTTCTTCATACGGGATCTGGTTCACAGAGCCCAAGACCTTGCCCCTCTAGTGAACAGCTAATAAGACATGACACTTGTCATTTTCACCACCTCAATCTAGAGAAGGGAATCTGGAATCAACTGATGTTATGTGCCATTGAGTTAGAACCAACTCATAGCTGATTCTCCGGTGAGCTTTTAGAGGTTGTAATTCTCAGAGAAGGAGATTGCCCATCTTTCTCCTGAGGTGCAGCTGGTGGATTTGAACTGCCTGCCTTTGTATTGGCAGCACAACTCCTTACCCACTAGGCCACCAGTGCTCCCTAGAATCAATGGTGGGGAAAATTCATCAGTGCTTCAAGAAGTGGGAAATGGCTCAAGGTGGACAGATAAGCATTTCCAGCTGCTCACCCCCATGGTGCCCCCCGTGGTGCCCTTGCTGGCTGGACCTGCAGGGAGGGACCAAGACTCACGCTGAGGATGTAAGCAGAGGGTGGCAGAGGGAACTGCACGCCATTGATGATGAAGGTCAGGGTGGGCAGGCTCTGGACGCTGTCACAGCTCACAACGTACTGCAAGGAGAAGCAGGGGCCAGGTCAGCTCATCCACCACCTGAGAGCCCTCTTGAGCCCCAGGGTTGGGCCCCAGGCTGCCCTCCAAGGCCTGCTTGGCTACTTGTGGAAGGGAAGGCATGATGCCAAGAAAAAGTGGACACACACAGGCAGGGAGAGAGGTTTGGGGAAATCTTAGCATCTCTCTCACTATAAAAACATTGCTTTTGATGGAATTCCTCCCATGAGAGATTAGTCTCTGCCTTTTCCCTACAAATGCCCTTTTCAGATACACACATCTGTGGGAAGAGTAGTCAGTGAGGCCTCCAACATTAGTTAGTAAGCGTGTGTTCACTAGACAAGCCCTCTGCTGGACACAGGAGAGGGGACAGTGGATGCCAGAGAGGTGAGGGAGCCGCTCACTTGCTTGGCACCACGTTCAAGTTATTTTGTCCTTATTCCTAAGCCCACTTTAGGAGTTGTGTCGGGAGGGACCAGTCCTTGGAAGAAGACATCACGCTGGGAAAGGTGGAGGGTCAGAGAAAAAGAGGAACAAACTGGACTGACACAGGGACTGTGACGATGGGTTCATATGTAACAGAGATGGTGAGGATGGCACAGGACAGAGAAAGGTCAGATTTGTTGTTCAAAGAGTCACCGTGAATCTTAGTTGACTCAGTGACACCTAACAACACTCCAAAGCTCAGCAAGCGTGTGAATTGTTTTCTCTAAGTGGCTCAGGAGAAATTACTTACTAACTAGTAGGAACCACTCCATAGCCCCTCAGGACAAAACCTCTGACCCCACCTGCACAGGCTCCCAGCCCCTAGCCTTGTCCCCACCCTAGTCTTGCCAGATGCCCACACTTAAGGCAGCAAGATGCATGGAAGGCAAGAGGTGATCCATTCCCACTCTCCCTGGGAAACCCCTGTTTCTCTTGGGGAAGGGGCATCTCTAGGAGACCTCACCTCTCCATACTCGGTCTCCTCAGCTCCCACGGCCTGCAGAAGGGTGCTCAGGTAGCTCTGAGGAACGGTGAGCAGGGAGGTACCGGTGTCGACGATGGCCTGGCAACCCTCGGAGCACAAGCCAGAGGCCTGGCCACCAATGAGGAACCTAAATGGTGAGCAGGGAGGGGAGTAGCCTTAGCACCCCACCAGCTGGGCAGCTGGATAGCTCCACACCATGCCATCCCAATCAGAGTGTGGAAGGTAAGCATTCTGCAAGGTTAAAGCAGCTATCCCCCCTGCCTCTCATCATACCCCAGCTACCCAGGGCCGCCTGCATGCCAGTGCAGTCCTTTCTAAACGGGTCTGAGGAAGGTGCTAGAAACACTGAAAGCAGTCATGCCTGGAGCAAATGAGTCCTCATCACACCCCAATTTCCAATATAAAAGTCCATGGAGTTTGACTACAGGCATCTGTAGCATTCAGGATTCCGAGTCCTACTCCTCCCTCTGCTGTCCCCACCCTCCTCCAAGTGGAGCTGGGCCCTGACACCTCCACAAAGAGCAGCTAGGGGCTTTGTGGGGACAGGCTGGGTGGAGGCAGGGCCTCTGCTCCCACCCCACCCCCAGCATTTCCAAGGAAATGCCCACGTCCCCTGGCCCCTCCCAGACTCACTCCTCAATGCCGATCTGCCAGTAAAGCTCCTGAGTGACCGGGGCCCAGTAGATCTGCCCAGAGTACAGGCTGCTGTCCACACCTCCGAAGACAAGGGCTCCTCCTTCAGAGCCTTGCTGGCTGCAGGAGACAAAAGAAAGGGTGGTCAGCAAGCTGCCCTGGGAAGGGACTTCCTCACTGGACAGATGAGCAGAGATGCCTTGGCTTGGGAGACCTGGGTGATGCAGTAAGTTAAAGAGTTCACTGCTGACCCAAAGGTTGGAGGTTTGAGATCGCTCAGAGCTGCCTTAGAAGAATGGGCTTGGACTGGATGGAAATCTACTTTAAAAAAATTAAAAATAATAATAATAATAATCAGTCATCACAAATCCTGTGGAGCTCAGTTCTGTACCGATGATGCATAATGGGGTCACCACGAGTTGGGGCTGACTCACAGTAGCTGGCCTTGGCTCTACAGTGGGGCTCCCAAAGGCATGGTTTTATCGGTGATCTTCTCTAATTCGGGAATCTGAATGTGGAACTGGGTGGGGTTTCTAAAAGCTACACTCAGACTCATTGTCAACTGAAGCAGAGTGAAGTCAGCAACATTAGTAACAGGTTGACACTATGGGGAAAGTCAGGGAGGGTCAAGAGATTAAGGCACAGAGAGCAGATGCTAAGAAAGCCTTGATGGCATGAAGAGTTGGGCAGTTGGCTGCTAAGTGAAAGGCCGGTGGTTCAAATCCACCTAGGGGCACTGGAGGAGAAAAAGCTAATGAAATGTTCCTGTGAAGATTTAAAATAAGGCCTATAGCAGCTAGTCGATTCTGACTCCTGGAGGGCCTAGAAGGCTGTAAATCTTTTAAAAAAGGACACTTCTCATCGCTCTCCCATATTCAGCCTTTTGGTTAGAAGACCAACATGCAATACATGACAACATCCGGGCTCCTTCCATACAAATCACAGCCTAGAAAACTCAACCCTGTCACTTGGAGCCCCTGGGAGTAAAAAAATACTCTCCATAGCACTTAACAACAACAGTAAATGCTAACCGCATCTTGAAAACAGTTGCCCAGCAGTTAACTTAGGCCAGAAGTCTCCATGGCCAGGCGAGAAAAATAGATCGAAGGAGAAGAAGCAATAGATTACCATATAAATGAGGTGTATGAGTAGGAAATATTTGGACAGAAGGAGGTGAGCTCATTGGGACCCTGGGTGAGAGGTAAATTGGCCAGAAGGGAAGAGATTCTCTTCAGTGTAGTGGGAGTGAATTGGAGATAGATGGAGAGGGGGTGGAGGGGTCGGTATTAGAAGACTGAGAGGGAAACCCCTGAAGACTCAAACCCCAGAGCCTCTCTCCTCCCGTGTGGCAGGGAGAGGGGCCTGAAATGGGGCACAGGCCTGCAGATCCTTACTTGCCGAGGTAGAAGCTGAAAACGGGGCTGGTGAGGGCGTTCTCCTGCAGCATGCCCTGCAGGGCTGTGGTGGCACCGCCCATGGCCAGGGAAGGATAGGCCATACCCATGATGCCATCAAACTGAGCGTAGACAAAGTTGGTACCCGGTTCGGTCTCACTCAGGCCAAATTCCTGATTGGGGACCTGGATGCTCTGGACCTGGAAAGAGCAGAGAGGAGGGGAGGTGACAAAACTGATTCCACTCACCTTCTCAGATCCCCCAGGGCCACTACAAAGCCTGTTCTTCATCCTTTCTTCTCTGCTCCTCTTTCTAGCAGTCTTGCAAGAGGCACCTTCTCTTCCAAGCAACATCACCACCCACCCACACCCAACCCCTTTCTTCTTAGAATGTCTCAGGCTCTAGATTCTCTGAGGTTAACGACCAATACTGTCTCATTAATCCCAGTGTCCCATGAAGGGCATGATGGTCCTCAGTGAGAGGTAAGCCAGTCAGTAAAGGAGCTTCTGTCATACTCATGCCCTATCTCGAGTTTCATTATCAATCTTGAGGTCCGTGGGTGGGTCTCCCCGTAGGCACTGATGTCCTGGTTAGAACCTAGTCCCTTCTCTTGGCTATGTTTCCACCCTGAGGTGAGAGTAGGTGGCTGGCCCCACTCACAGTCATGGTGTCGTAACCAAAGAAGCCGGTGAGGCTGCCGCTGCCGTACTGCAGGGAGAAGGTCTGCCCGTTGGTGGAGTAAGTGGAGGATGCGCTGGGGTTGAACCGAGAGTGGCTGGCTGCAGGGGGTGGGCAGACAAGACAATATCGGGAGGGTCAGGCTGGTGAATGGAGGGCTTCCCGTCTTTCAGCCTGTGCTCACTTTGTGGGGCCTCAGCACCTCATCCCCCCACCAAGCCACAGAGTGTCCAGCTCCCACGTTTGAAGGCTCCTGGGAGCTGGTCAGCTTTGGTGTCAAAGCCCACTCACTCTCCAGCACTTTGGGCACCCAGGCTATGCCCTCCCCATAGACAGGTCACAGAGACTCCACCTACACAGCCCTGGCCGCCAGCAGAGGGCCTAGCACACAGCAGGGGCCGAATAATTACTCATCAGATGAAGGAATGGATAAACCTCTGGGCCATCCCAGCTTTCACTTAACCTTTTTTTTTTTTTTAAATCAAGAAGTCCTGCCCCCGGGGGGGGGGAGAGGGAGAAAAGAGCAACAATAAATGAATGGATGGAAATCAAAAGTCTTTGTAACTTTTCATTGATATTAATAATTAAAAAAACACCCCAAAACACTAGTCCTGCCAAATGGGGACGAGAACAGAACAGCTGAGTTCAGTCAGTAGAGGGGAGGTGTGAAGGAACGGGACAGATCAATTGGGGGCCTGAAAAGATGGTGTTATGGTAGACATAGGTTAATGGTGATTGATTTTGTAAAACACAATGTCAGTAATGATCGTATGAAACAATGTGAATGAAGGAATGCGTGAGGCACAATGTGCAGGAATGAAGCACAAAGTATAGAAATCCCATATGGAAACCAATATCAAATAAAATCACAGGAGTGTGTGTGTGTGTATTCTTCCAGGATCCTGAGATAGCCATTTTGGGGCCCACAAAGGAACCCTTGGCCCACAGGTCCCAGGATCTCAATCTGAAGGGTGTGGAAAAGACCAGTATAGCCTCAGAGGAGTCACTCTCACCGACCTGTCTCCCGGTGTTACTACAGAACAGAAACCCCCGCCTGTGTTTCTCTCTCAAGTCCTAGGGTCACTCAGTGAGGACTTAGTAACCAGGGGAGTGACGCAGAGCAGGATGTCTCAGAACTGAATGAGGTGGGATGCAGTGAGAATTATTCACGCAGAATGGACTAGCACTGCCTGGCGTGAACAGAATGGAGTTGAGGGGAATAAAACAGGACAGGGTAGAGTAAATCAGGGGATATGGATAGGTGAGCAGGAAAGAAATGGGGTCACCTAGCCGCAAGGCGGAGCCCTCTTCCTCTGACTTGGGCATTCTGAGTGACCCTGGATAAGTTGGGAGCTTTTTCCAGGGCTGATGCTCCTTGGGACCCTTCAGGAGGTTGGTCTTTTCCCCAGAGAATGTCAGCCCACCTCCTGCCCCACCCTGGGCACCCCAGTACTCACTGCAGGCCTGGCTCTGGCAGTAGACAGAGGGCACCCACAGGTTGGAGGAGCCGGTGTCAAAGAGGACCAGGAAGTTCTGGGGTGGGGTTCCGATGCTGATCTCTCCAAAGTAGGAAGCCTACAAGGAGGAGGGCATACGTGGTCTGTTATGTTCTGGAAGCAGCAAGGGGAGTGTGGGGCCCAGAATCCTCTATGGACACAGCAGAGGAGGGCCAGCCCGTGCCTCCAGCCCACACCAGAAGCAGGGCTTTGAGTCTTTCCTCAGTCCCAGCCTGCTCAGGGCAGCTCAGGGGACGGTTCAGGATAGGCTCCCCCAACTCTCTACCCTCACATTTACCCCAGGGCAACTAGGTCCAAGATGTCAGGTCTAGAAGAGGAAGCAGGCCACAGTGTCACCTGTGGGTATCGAGGAGGGGTAATGCCCAGTGCCCAGGTCTGGCCCAAGTCTTTGGCATCAAGGAGATAGTTAGTACTCACGTCCATGTAGTCCATAGTCTCATAGACCACACTGAAGTCTCCATAGTGGTACCTCTGGGCGGGGTCACGCTTGTGAGTCCTCAGAAACTCCGCCAGCACACCCTTCTCCTTCATGGTCTGCCGGATGGACTTCATTTTCTTCAAGGGAACTCTGTTGAGGGGCAGAGAGTCAGGCAGGGCCCTCTCTCCTTTCTCCAGCACCCCAGAGAGCCCGGGTCTTCCCTCTATCTCTGCCTTTCCACCTCTGTGGGCCTCAGTCTGCCTGCCATGCTCTTTCCCATGGCTGTCGACGATGTCTACCTGCTTGTGTCTTCCTCTAAGTTTCTCTGTCTCGCCATCACTGTCTTTTCTCCCTCTGCCTCTCTTCTTCTCTCCTTCACTTTCAAAGCCCTTCTAAGGGTTTGCTTTATGATGCAGAAGACATTTCTCTTCATCTCATTTCCAGGGGTGTTCTGGCACCTGGCTCTGCAATCTCAAATATCCCATAAATGCCTCCCAAGATGAGGAGGAGGTGCATCTGCTGAAGGGTTTGAGAGATGACAGTGTTCCCCTCAAAGAAAGTCTCCTCTTAGGGTGCATCTCAGGCACTTGGCTGGGGGTGACAGGGAGGAGCACAGGGAACCAGCACAGTATAGGAACTTGGGGAAATAGTCCTGCGGTTAATTGTATGGCCTGAGACTATCGCTTCTCTCCAGAATACAGGACCACGGAAAGTCAAGACCTGGGTGGCATTGAGCCCAGGTCATGTCTGGAATTGAGACTTAGGACGTATGAGTTTCTGTCCATGTCACTAAGGACACAGCCCACCCACCTCAGGCATCCTTCTTCTCCACCTGCTTGCTGCCCTGGCCTAGTATCTCTTTGGTTCCGCAAAAACCTTGCTCCAGGCTCCAGGAATCATGCTCCTTCCATCATTCTCCAACTGTATCCCTCTGGAGGTGTCAGCTCCCCATCCCAGAGAGTTTCAGTGGCGGTAAGCCACACGGGAGGACATTGTCCATCTTTGTCCCATGGAGCAGCTGGTGGATTCTAACCACCTGCCTTTGAGTTGGCAACTCCTTACCAATAGCCCACCAAAGCTCCTCTTCCAGAAATCTTCAGCTAAACCTCTTCTTAGCTAAATTCTGAAGAGTGAAGACTCATAGACATAGCTCATGACTAACCACCTCTACAGAATTCACACTGTAAAAGTAGTTTCTGAAACAACCAGAAGGTATCATCTCACCCCAGTCAGAATAGCAAAATTTAACAGAACAGCAAACAACAAATGCTGGCGAAGTTGTGGAGAAACTGGAACCCTTATTCACTGTTGATGGGAGTGTAAAATGGTGCAACCACTGTGGAAAACGGTGTGGCGTTTTCTCAAAAAGTTGCAAATAGAGATACCATTTGACCCAGCAATTCCACTATTGGGAATATACCCTAAAGAGACCATAACCACCCAAGCAGATATACGCATACCCATGTTTATTGTGGCTTTGTCCACAATAGCGAGGAGTTGGAAACAACCTAAGTGCCCATCAACAAACAAATGAATAGAGAAGCTGTGGTATACACAATGGAATACTATGCTGCATTGCAAACAAGGAACTCATGAAATATTATGCAAAATGGATGACCCTGGAGGACATAATGCTGAGTGAATTATCTCATTCACAAAAGGACAAATATTGCATAGGGCCACTGTTGTAAAAGAGGATTGGCATCGGGGTTGAGGAAAAGCAGAGAAGAAGGGGAGGAATGGTGTATATTGCATTGAAACAGATGAGGGAGAGAGCTGTTTAAAAGGGACATATGTCATTACAGAAATCCAGAGTGAAGGCTGCATAGTGGAGTGGACTTGGGGGTGGGAAGGAATGCATAATAATGAAAGAGTTTTTCTTTCTTTTCAAGGAGAAGAGTGAATTGGAGGGGAGGGGTAGGTAAGGAGAAAAATGCAACAATGAATGACTAGAAACCCTAAGTCTCTGTAAACTCATTAAAATTAATTTTAAAAAAATTTTTAAAAAGTCATTTCTGAGAGGATTCTCTCTTAGCCTAAGGAATGACTCTCCAATGGTGGAATAGCTGGCAGTCTGGCTAGCTTCAAGTCTTCCTAACGCCTTGAAAATCGTGCCACTTCATGGCACCCCATCTAGTGACCTACCTCCCATTATCCTCCCATTACCTCAGAGACATACATTTACTGGTGCTTCTGTTTAAATGTTCTGGGGATTTGCCAGAGTGACCAATTAAATGTTGGGCCTCTAAGAAAATTCTCAGTGGTGCAAATTATTAAGCACCCTCAAATTATTAGCCAAAAGTTGGAACCCACCTAGAAAAACCTAGACAGTCCTGGTGGTCCCCTTTGGAAGAGCCAGCTATTGGACACCCTATGGGACAATTCTCTGACATGTTCATGTCACCATGAGCTGGGCCCAATTCAGCAATAGGTTAGGGATTTTAGAGTTAAGAATGTTTTTAGAAAGCATTCCCATATCCATAAATAATTGCTCTTTTCTAAGGGAAGAAATTACACTGGCCAATCAAGCATGGATAGGAGTCACCCACGACATGGATCCATCTTTTCTCCTCAGGTAGGAAAGGGGTTGTGTTTATCCCTTTGGCTGGAAGTTTCCCCAGAGAAAAGGCTCTGCCTCTACCCATCTTTGAGTCCCATCCAACATTCCTTCTCATCACAAATTCCAGAGGAGAGATAGGTGTGTGTCCCCTGGCTGGGTCGCCCCTCCCAGCCCTCCAGTCTCCAGCCCAGGCTCCCTGCACCAGCCGAATTCAGACTCACTTGACAACGGCAGCCTCCAAGAGCTGGAGGCAGACCAAGGTTGCCACGATCCACTTCATGATGCCCATTTCCAACTTGCTGCTGAGGAAAAGCCACTCCAAGTCCTGTGGTGGCAGTGGAGTGACAGCCTGAGCAGGCTTCTGCCTTTTTATACCCCAGCTCCTCACCAAGTCCCTGCCTCCTTGCCCTGGGCAAGCATGACCCCAGCCCCAGTGTACCTAATGTTCCATGCATCCTTTGTCCCTGTGTGTTTTTCCACACACTTCTCATCTTATTGACTTTTTTTATTCAAGCAGCAGAGGCCAAGGGGTGCAAGTGATAAGAGAACAAAGTTGCCGTAAGATGGAGTGGCAAGGATTGCCTTTTTTGTGTGCAGGAAACAGAGGTGTAATGTTGGCCTCACTGGGATGAGGGCTGGAAAGACAGCTGGAGCCAGGGTGAGGAGCGTAGGATCTATAGGCAAAACTTCTCAATCCTGGAACTACTGGCATTTCAGGCCAGATCCATCTTTTGCTGTAGGTGATGTCCTGTGTGGCAGAGTGTTTAACAGCACCCTTGGGTGTCCACCTAATAGATGCCAGCTGTAACTCCTCCAGTGTGACCACCAGAAGTGTCTCCAGACATTACCGAATATCCTTAGGAGACACTTAAAATCACTGAGCCTTGCTAGTCTACAGGTGATGCATTCAGAAGTCTGACTCAGGTCCTGGTTTCCAGCACCCCAATGAGAGATGGAGTTATGGGTGTCTGACGATTATGGTGACAAGAATAGTAGTGTTGTGCTGGCAGTGGGGCTAACATGCCTAAGGGTCAAATCAGAGCCATTTGAGGTGGCTCTGGAAGCTTTTAAGTTCAAGTGAGATATTTGGAGAAATTATCATTATTTCTTTATTCACTAGGAGTTCAGGATACACTCCTAGTGTAGGCTACACAGATTCTGGTTGTTTCTCACATCTGACTGGAACAAGGGGCAGGAACAAGAGACCACAGGACATCCCTGCCCCTTGCTCTGTTCTTGTTCTCCTGCCCCATCATCTTCTGCTTCATCCTCCCCACCAGGGGCCATAGTTCTGACTCAGGGTTTGTGGGGTTTTCAGAGGCATATGCTTTAGAAGTAGATTCTCAAGTCGTCTCTGGGTGGAATCAAATCTCTAACCTTTTTAACTGTCAAACGCAGTCACCATGGGCATCATCCAGAGATTCCTCTAGCACCAGATCTGGGAACATCCTGTCCTGTGCTCTATCATAAAGTTTTCATTGCTCAATTTCCAGAAGTAGATATTAATGTCTTCCTTTCAATGTGCCCCTGGGTGACTTGAACCACAAACCTTATGTTTAGCAACTGAGTTCATTAACTGTTTGCATCACTAAGGATTCCATTGCCTTCACCCCTCCCTTTTTTTTGTTGTGATTTTAACAAAATTTTACAGAAAAGTTAAATTTTCATTCATTCGTTGTTGCACATTTTCCTCCCTACCCGCCAGTTCACTTTTAAAAAAAATATTCATTCGTTGTTGCATAATTTCCTCCTCCCCACACCTACAGTCCACTTTGCTAGACACCTCTTATTCTGGACAGTTGTCATACAAATAATGCCTAATCATATATTCCTTTTAAACAGGTCTTTCCTTCATCCGTTCCTATTAAGTTTTCATTGTCTATCTCCCTCTTTTCCTAGTTTGCCCCCAACTCCCATGTCAGTCCTGTTTTATAACAGTGGTGTTATTCAGGATTTGTCCTTTTGTGACTGAGATATTTCACTCACCATAATGTCCTCCAGAGTCACCCATATTGTGTAATATTTTATGAGTTCCTTGTTTTTCTGTGCTGCATAGTATGCCATTGCATGAATATATCATTGTTTTTTATCCATTCATTTGTTGATGGGCACTTGGGTTGCTTCCATCTCTTTGCTACTGTACTGTGAGTAACACAGCAATAAACACAGGTGCACATACATCTGTTCCTGTGGCAGTTCTGGTTTCTTTATGGTATATTCCTAGTGGTGGAATTGCTGGGGTCAAATGATATTTCTAGTTCCAGCTTTCTGAAAAAGTGCCAGACTGCCTTCCATAGTGGTTACCAAGCCCATTGCCTTTTAAAAACAGAAAGCAAGAGAGAGGAAGGAAAAAAAAACCCTATTGCTGTCAAGTTAATTGTAAATTTTGGTGACCTCATGTGTTACAGAGTAGAAATGATCTAGAGTTGTAATCTTTTTGGAAACAGATTGCCAGGCCTTTCTTCCACAGTGCCACTGAATGGGTTTGAGCTGCCAACCTTCAGTTTAGTAATCAAGCATAAACTACTTGTGCTACTCAAGGAACTCTGTTGTCTCTACTTCTAAAATACCTTTTGGTATTTGGTTGTGTACCATCGAGTCAGAACCGAACCATAACAGACCCTCCAGTGGGTTTTTAGAAGCAGTAAGACACACTGGAGGAGATTGCCCAGCTTCTCCCACAGTGCAGCTAGTGGTTTCAAACCGTGTGCCTTTGGGATTGCAGCATGGCTTCTTACCACTAGGCCACCAGAGCACCCCTTTACTACTGCCTTTTTCCTGCCTTGTTCCTGTCCCTCCATCCCTCATGTCCATGTCCTCGCTGCTTCCCAGTTTCTCATTGGCTGAGGCAACCTGCAGCTGGCCCAGTGCCTGCTAACCTGACACCATAGAGTTCTCCAGTTGGAGGTGAGTGGAAAATGTCCCCCATGCCAACACCCCCCACCATCTCATACCCCGCACTTGGGGCTCCAAACAGATTTGTCAGGCCCTCGGGCCCCAGGTGGAAGGCCAGGCCCAGGCCTGCCAACATTGATATAATCCAGCCAGTGGGGGATTTTCCACTCTGGCCACAGTCAACCACTACCAGCCAGAGTCCTGAGGCCTCCTCCTGACACAGAAAGGGAGGGATCCACCTGGTTGATCTCATAGTGAAGTCAACTCCCACACTCCTGTGTAGTCTCCAGGGACCTGTTGTTTTCCCCAAGGTCAAAAGAGAATATCTGGATTTGGAAGAACAGGTGAAAGGGGTTGGTAGGATCCTTAGGGTTCTTTCCACATTATGAATATAGTACGTTGCACAGTATCCCAGAGGCTGTGTGAAGCCTACCAGACTTGTCAACACAGACCCTTTCTCTAACTGGTGGAAGGCCAGGCTTCCCTAAACCTCAGTATTCCACATCCCTTCTGAGCATCCCTGGTCTCAGGGAGCTTCAAGCCAGGGCATCCTCACTTGGCTGCTAGGTACTGGGGAACCCCCTCACCTCTTCAATCTGATTAAGATCTACCAGTTCAGTCAGGTCCCCAGGATCCCAAGAACCCCACTGTCACTAGCCTGCCCACCACCAATTAGCTCATGTGCCGGAAACTTCTCAAGTTCTGCCTTTCCTTCAAAGCCTTTGGGAGCCAGGGGTTTGCTGAGTCTGGGGACCTTAGAAATCACTCAGAGTCACCTTTTAGCAAGTGCTGGCTCTCATGCCAGCCCCTCATCAACCCCTGCATGCCATCTGGTGCTCCCCACTCCCACTTAGAGCTGGATGTAACACTACAAATACCAGCAGGTGGGTGTTTCCTGAGCTTGTCTGCTGTCCCCATGGTGTGGAGGCTCTGAGAGAGCAGAGACCAAGTTTCCACATCCCTGCGCCTGGCCCAGCACTGAGGAAATGTAGAACAGAGCACATGAAGCTCATGAGCTCGTTCTCAATGGAACTGAGCTGGGTCTCCCATCTGTTTAACGAGTGCTCAGATCTCCACTCCAGCCCCAAAAGGGATCTTGTCAAAACCAGGGTCTGTGCACAGTATTGGAAAGAGTCATATTCTCACCACCCTCTAGGCTCATCTCCTTCTAGGCATCAGCTGCCATTAGACACTAATCAAAATCCAAATTTGTCAGCACTGGTGTCTAAGACCATTCCTCCATCGCCAAACTTATATTTTACTATTAAACTAGACATAGGCTCCATCTTCTAGCTATACTGATTTCTTTAAGGAATGCTGGTGGTGGTGCAACAATTAAGCACTTGGCTGCTAACTAAAAGGCTGACATGGGGAAAAAGAATTAGTGTTCAGTTACTATAAAAATTATAACAAAGAAAACCCTCTGGGCTAATTCTACTCTCTCACGTGAAGTCACTATAAGTCAGAATAGACTTAACAGACCTCAACAAAAACAAGAGATTTCTCTGCTTTCTTTCTCTTTTTTATATTACTCTTATTTGTTGTTGTTGTTGTTCTGTGTCGTCGAGTCGTTTGCAACTCATAGCGACCCTATGCACAACAGCCCTAAACCCTGATCTATCCTGTGCCAATCGCATTGCCTGACACACCCATCCTGATTACTCCAGTCACTGAATCAATCCACCTCACAGAGGGTCCACCCTCTTGCGCTGTCCCTCCATCCTACCAAGCGTGATGTCCCTCTCCAAGGACCTGTCTCTCCTTACAACATGTCCAAAGTATGTCAGACGAAGCTCCAGAATCCTTGACTCCAAGGAGTAGCCTGGTTTAACCCTCTCCAGGATGAATCTGTTTGTCTTCTTGGCAGTCCATGGTACATTCACACTCTTCTCCAGCACCACAGCTTAAAGGCATGAATTCTCTTTCTATCTTCCCTAGTCATTGTGCAACTCTCTGATGCATAACACTTTATGACAATTTATTACAAATCAAATAAAATTCTGCTCCAGTTTCTGCCCCAACCAACATTCTGTTTGTTACTTCAAAGTTTCAGAAATTCTTATTGGGTCAATTTTGTCTTTTATCTTTTGCTATTAAACATACTTTTTAATGCAGTAGTTCAATTCTTACACAGAAAGTACAACCCTGGTAAGATATACTTTTTTTTCTTTTACTAAAATGAGGCACAGTCACAATTTAACAAAATTAAAAGTGCTCTCCCCCTCACAAATGAAACCTATCACTTCTTAAATTAAAAATAAATGTTATAAGTAACCCCGAAGAAGACATCAAGTTAAAAAGCTGAAAAACAATGTAGATATGAAAATGCAAAAACATTCATGTAAAAACCTCAGAGAGCGTGTGGTCAGCAAGTGTCAGTGGGAA